GGGGGGGGGGAGGAGGCGATCAACACAATGGTTGCGCGCCACCAGGATAGCAGCAGCAGATGTGGCATGCATGCTCGGCTCGGCGGGGTGGGTCCGAAATTGTAGTGTGACATGACAGGCTGATCTGGCACAATCACGTCAATCCTCGTTTAGAACCAGGTCTCATCTCAAAAGGTCGCATCCGGGGCGGCAATCTAGTCAGTGCCCACCGTCCGCCCGCCCGTCCGTCCGTTCGCGGAGAAGAAAACATGGCAGCAGCGGACACGAGGGAGAGGAGAGAGAGAGGGAGACGGAGAGAAAGAGAGCGGGAGAGGGGAGCGCGTGTAAGAGAGAGGGAGAGAGAGTGGAGCGAAGGCCGGATCGCGCGCCTGCGTCAACGCCAACAGCTGTGGCGGGGCAGGGCCGGGGGCAGGGCAGGGTTGGGCAGGGAGAGGGGGGTCACGAGGTGGAGGGGGCCGTCCGCTTGGCTGGGCTCGGCCGTGCGGCGCAGGCCAGCCGGCCAGCCAGAGAACCAGCGCCAGCAGCGGCAGTTACAGTTTGCTCCTCTCGCGCGCAGGACCCGCGTCGATTCGCTAAAGTACAGTGTTGTGTTTACCGTGACCGTGATGGCGCGGTGGAAGAGCGCGGTGCTCCTCCTGGGGCTGGTGTGCCTGGCCTCGCTGACGGACGTCTTGGAGGCCAAGCGGAGCGGTGGCTCCCGCAAGAGCGGCGGTAGCAGCAGCTGGGGCAGCAGCAGCAGCCGACGCAAGACGGGCAGCAGCGGCAGCAGCGTGACAAGCGCGCCGGCCAGGCACGACAGTGGCTCCTTCATCAAGCAGGAGTCCAAGCAGGCCTCGGCGCCGGTGCAGCAGTCGTCCAACGCCAACTACCCGCGCCAGCCGGCCTCTAACCCGGCGTACCCGGGCACCAACAACCACGGCTACCCCGGCGCGGCCAACCCCGCGTACCCGGGCGCTGGCGCGCACAACGTGGGCGGCGGCCAGATGTCGAGCAGGCCGTCCAACCCCGGCTACCCGGGCGCGGCCAACCCTGCGTACCCGTCCAACTCTGGGTACCCTGGCGGCGCGGCTCACCCGCCGCCCTACCAGCCCAACTACCCGCCGCCGCAGTACCACCCGCCCCCGCAGGGCGGCTACGCCGCGCAGCCCGGTGGCTACCACCCGCCCCCGCAGGGCTACCACCCGCCTCCAGCCTACAGCCCTGGCGTGGCCGCGCAGCCCGCCGTCCTGCAGCCCGTCATCGTGCAGAGCAGGCCCGCTTCCTCCGGCATTGGCGCCGGTGGCGCCGGCGCCCTGGGAGCAGTCGGCGGCCTGGTCGCGGGCGCCGCTCTCAGCCACGCCCTCAGGCCGAGCCACGGGTACGGTGGCGGCAGTGGCCACGGCACCCACGTCCACGAGACCGAGATCCACAACCACTACTACAACAACGGCACCGGCAGCAACGACGGAGCCGCGGCTGCACCCGCCGCAGGGGCCGCCGCCGCGCCCGCCAACGGAGCCCCGCCGCCACCCTACGACCCCAACAACCCCTACTACAACGGCCAGTACCCACCTGGTCAATACCCTCCCGGCCAGTACCCTCCGGGCCAGTACCCACCCGGCCAGTACCCTGGTCAATATCCTCCTGGTCAGTACCCTCCTGGCCAATATCCCCCCGGTCAGTATCCTCCTGGCCAGTACCCTCCCCAGTACCCGTACCCCTATGACCCGTACGCTAACGGCACCGTGAACGGCACGGCCCCCGTCAACCCCGCTGCCTGGCCGCAGCCGGCCGGCGTGCCCGGCTACCCCGCCAACGCCCAGGACCCCGCCCTGGTCGCCAACTCAGGTGAGTGACCTCCCCTCCTACCTTCTTATCGCATGACTCTGCCCCTGTTTTGTTTTGTGTCGTTCGTTGGCCGCTTGGCTCTATACTAGTGTGCACTGGCTGCCGGCGGGGGAACCCCCCTGCGGGACGGCGGGGCCGTCGGCAGCACCGTCTCACGTGTGTTTGTCTCGGCCCAGCGATAGTGACCTGACTGCAGTATGGAAAATTCTTCTCTCCAATTTGTAGACAGCAGTAGAAGTAACCAATCATGTAACAACTCATTGTCACCCATACCATATCTCGCAGCCCGCGAGTCGCCGGCCCGAATGTGTGCCGCGTCGCGCCCGCCCTGCTGCTCCTGTCCGCACTCCTGTTATCACTGTTGGTCGGGGTGCGGGGGAGGGAGAGAGGGCGAGGCCGTCGCATACTCGGGGCGCTTCCGTCCGTGCCGCCGGGCTTCGCATTGTCTCGCACCTCACTATGTCGTCGGGACGGGCATTGGAGGCCGTCGCCCGTTGCTGCTTTGGCTCGGAAACGACGACGACGACTTGACAGACGACGCTGCTCTGAACATAATTCGGTGGTCGGCCTCGTCCCCGCTCGTGCGAAACGTTAAACCACGAAACGACGCAGCAGTTCTTGAACTTGACGGCGACGCACAGCTACTCGCTAACCAGGCGTGCTAATCCCAAGGCAGCCCCACCCTCGCCTCCGCGCAGCCTTTACGACGCTGACAAACTCGGGCCCTAGGTTCACCACGCACGGTGCCTCCCCCGCCCCCTCCCCTCCCCACTTCGCTCTCTGCGAATCCCTTCCCATTCTCTGCTGAGACTGATGAAGTGATCACGCATGTAAAGCAGCTCCTGCAATGTTTATCGGGACGGTCGTCCACGTGCCGCCCTTACAGCTGGAGGGGCGTGGCGCCAGTATGGTCCGCCCCCTAGGGAGGGTTAGCCCCCCCCCCCCCTTTCACTCCCCGGGGGAAAGGTTGCTGTACCCCTCGCCGGGGCGAAGCCTGACCTTGTGCGTTGATGGCGGCGGCTATACATGCGGTGGATGAGTAAAGTTTCGGTGTTACGTTTCTTGGTCCTTGTTGGGGATGGGAGAAGGGGGGGGGGGCTCCCATGGCTGACACATGGCGGTGCACGCCTGTCCCGTGGTGGCGGCCGCGCGCAAGGGCGCGTGCGCATGCGGGTCGGGATAATGCCATCCGCGGGGAAATCCCGGTCGAGCCAAACTCTCGACCAAAACCGGCAGTAAACACTTGGGGGCTGAAGTGTAGGGAGACGGGGGCCATGCCGGGCCGGGACCCCCCTCGCCTCGGCGACCCCCTCGGCGACCCCCCTCGGCGACCCCCTCGGCGACCCCCTCGGCGACCCCCTCGG